TGAAAATGTGGGGTTTTTTTTCACTCAAGTATAGAATACCAGATTTCAGTTTAAAAAGGGAAATTGCATGCTTAATTCAACTAAAAATGTGAGTTTTGCAAGAAAACCAGACAAGATGGAGTTTTTAAAATATTTTTCTTGGTTTCAGTGAGTAAAAATCTATAAGACACAATCAAAAAAATCGTATGCAGTTTTTTGGTTGCAGACTTGTGTTATCTCAGTTGTTCTCCTGACTGAAGCTTTGTCCGTTTACAGTATCCTGCCATGCAATTGTAATTCTGTTTGGCAGTCTAATTAGAAGAACACCTTCAAAGTAATCTTATAAATGTAAACCGACTAGTTCTTATATAGCACTTTTTACTCAGCTTGAGCACTCAAAGCACTTTACACAACAGGACTCATGCACCAATTCACAATCTTTCATACAAGCACTTTATTTCTATGCTTTTTCTTTATAAGTGAAACATTTCTACACACTCTGGTGAATGCATTGGAGAGCCACTTGCAGTTCAGTATCTTGCCCAAGGATACTTTGTTATGCAGGGATCTAGCTACTAGCCTTCCGATTAGTAGACCTGGTCTACCGCCTCAACTATAGCCAGTCTAACATTCAACATGAAACATTAGGACTTATATAAAGTGCTGTGAAAAAGTGTGTGCCTACTTCCTGATTTCTTAGGCTGATTGCATTTTTAATATTCAACATAGTAGAAAAGTCAAAAAACAGAACAGAACCTTGAAGAGAACCTGTCTAACAAAGTGAAGTAGGCTAAAAGATTTCAAAAGCAACAAATCATGCCGGAATCTAAAGAAATGTCTGAGAAGCAAAGTTACTGAGATCAAGCAGTTTCGCAAGACTTTGGGAGTTCAACAACAGTTTATTCATTTTCTAATTTGGAACATTGGTGAACCGTTCCAGAAGTGGCTGGCCTACGAAATTACTCCCAAGAGCAAATCGACAACTCATCCAGAGTAGCACCTAAAGAACTGCATAACTCACTCATCTCAGTTAAGGTCAGCGTTCACAATTCAACAATAAAAAAGGGGCTGGGCGAGACAGTGAACCGAAACAAACCTGCCAGTCCGCCTCTTAATCCCTCAAACAAGCAAAGTGAAGGTTTTGGAGTAGCCGTGTCATGCTTTGGCATGTCTTTAAACAGTGTGGAGGATTTTCCTAGCATGAACAATCTGGCTGAATTAAAACGGTTCTGCAAGAAAGAATGGCCCAAAATTCCCGATTGTCAAATGTCTCATTGTTAGTCATCACAGTCGCTTGAATACAGTTATTGCTGCCAAAGGTGGCACAACCAGTTTTTTGGTTTAGGGAGCAATTTACACAGGGCGAGGTAAGTTTGGATAACTCTTTTTCCATTTTAATAAGTAAAATCATCATTTAAAAACTGCATTTTGACTCTGGGTATTTTTATGTAGCATTAAATTTGTTTGTGGCATATATGCAAAAACAAAAATTAAGAATAGGGAAAATACTTTTATCACAGCATTGCATATAAGCAAGTGTAAATAAGAACGTTTACTAGTCTACATTTAGCATCTTAATAAAAGAAGGCATGAAGGAATACAAGTAGCTATTTCTTTTTTATTAAGTGCAATATAGCGCTGACCTGAGAACAGTAAAATAAATTGGCTGAAGAAAACATGCTCATAACATTTACTTTCTTAACCATGTGTTTCTTCAGAATTAAAATCAGGTCTGTTAAGTGGACTTTGTGTAATGGCTTTTAACAATGCCATTACGTCTGCTCCTGTCTTTTGGGACAACCCATCAAACCAAAAAAACAGTTTTATTGTTTAAAAAAACACACTATATCGGATTCATATCAGTATCGGCCGATATCCAAATTTATGATATTGGTATCGGACATAAAAAAGTGGTATCGTGCCATCTCTAGTCTGTATAAATGATACAAACAGGGACACATCTCAAGCTGTTACTCGGATATGATTCACAGTTTCTGTGCTGTTATTGGAGTAGCTCAAAATGCCACAGTTTACTAACTAAACTTTATCTGCTGGGCAAATAAAGCAAAATCCAATAATCCTATATTGAAATAAATATCACTTCATTGTTTTATAAGTTTCTTCTCTATGTAACATGTATATCTATGCTTTCCTTTGCACAGTCATCATGCAGTTAACTGCGTGCCTTATAAATGTTTGACCAGAAGTTGGACCTTATCATTTAAGCTGTTGAGCTGGTAATGACTGAAGAATGCAAACTTACTGGGCAGGCCCGGGGTGTATGTGTGAGCAGGGTGGAACAGAGTATCCTATGACCTATTTTGATCAGACTGTTTGCCTTTATGTTCCACTCTTGCACATCTGTTCCCATTTCTGTGTTTTTGTTGTTCTATAAATGAAAACACTCACCATTTAATGTTCAATGGCAGCTGTTGCAACATTGTTGAAAGTATAACTTAAAGTTAATGAGAAACAAGTCATTTCTCATGTTGTTGCCATTGTGTGAGCACAGGGTGTGGGGTGAGTTGGGTGCAGCAGATGCTCATTCAGGTGTTGAGTGAATGAGCAAATTAATGGGCACGTGACCTTAAGAGAGGGATTGTGGGAGTTGACAGGGGGATGTTTGTATGGCCTGATGTCCATTCAAGTACTCGCCTTCTCTGTAATCCAACAGAATCTGATGAGGATTAAAAGTTAAGCTTCAGTCAAGCTGTTAACAACTGTTTGGGTCACAGACAGTGTGGAACTGTTAAAACTAGGCGCCATGGATATCAGCCACATTTTGGCTATTTCTTGCCATTGTATTAATTTCTCACACGCATACAAACTTGAGTGCCTCTGAGGCCATGTGTACATCAGTCATGGCAGCTCATGTTATACCACAATAGATTATACAGTCTAGAGGTGTAGAGCTATTAGTTGGTGGTGTCTCAACAGCTCTACTAAAGCAGTTTGTGCATTATAAGTCTCTGTTAGCACACACTGGCCTCAGTTCAAATACATCCCCGTGGGAGCTATGATCAGGCATTAACAGCATGCTGTTTTCTCTCTGAAGGCTGGTTAATGGCCAAGTCTTTGAGCTGTAGGAACATAATGAGCTGGATTCATTAACATCTGAAGGTTCACTGGCAAATATTATTGGAAACCCACTTCACCTTTAGGGAGATGACCTTACCAATAGGATCCAGCTTTTTTTTTTTCCTCTTTAGCTTCATTTTTGTTATTTTTAGCTAATGTTCAAGGTGCTTGTGCTAATTTCCAGCTCTGTATTTGTATTCCTGCACTTCACTAGAATAGCTTTGCATGATTCACAGTTCAAAATTATTCTCAGACATTTGATTCAGTGACCATCTGAAGCTAGTTGTTTTAGCTCCATTATTCTACTTTAAAGACAACCTTCTGCTGATTCTCTGCCTCTTGTAAATGTAACTTTTGAACAGCAGGTGGGTGGGTCTGGCTCTTTTTTTTTAATATCTGCTTTTACTGGCATCATTTAAAGCCATCAATAGCAGGGAAAATGGCTGAAACAGAGTGTTTTGCATAGTCTGAGCTTTTGGCTCAATAAAAGTGGCTCTAAAAATAAATCCTCTCCAATAAAAATGCAACTTCTTATGTTCGAAATAACAAAGATTACCACAAGTCAAGTTAGAGCAGCTACACTTGAACAACCCTTTTTCTGTGGTGTTGTCCATTGTTGTGGGGGCTCAGGGGGTTGGGAAGCGTATCTGTAACCGGAAGGTCGCCGGTTCGATCCCCGGGCTCTCTGTCCTGGTCG